TATCACTAAGAAAATGAAGTCTGAAAGTACATTTTCTGAGGTTCAGAAGTAAGTGGGAGGGGACAAGATGCCCTTTTACATATCGAAAAATGTTGACAAAAACAGTGATGGAATGCTGACTTGATAGGCTTGATGGGTTAGGAGGTTTCTTGGCTCATTTTTCATAAAGTACAGGAGTTCATTTAAAATAATGAACGGGGCCAGGAGGCAGGGGAGGTGAGGAGAGTTGGGGTAAGGAGCGCAGAAGCAGGCTGACTTGGAAACTAAGAAGCTTTCATGTTCTGATAGAGAAAGGAAGGGGAGAATCTGGAAGACAGAGACATCGGGAGGTAGATAAGGAAGAGTTAAGCAATTCCATTCATGCAGCCAATAGGTAGCAAGAGCCCAGTGAGCGCAAAGTACGCTTCCAAGCCAGAAAACACTGGAGAACAGAACAGAGAGAAATCCCTGCCCTCATGGAGCTTACATGGGTTAATTCTCTTACACTGGATAAAACATAGAGTGGGAACAGAGATAGTGCTGGGAACTTGAGGAGAAGACAAACTGTGGAAACTAGCATATCTGGGGGAATGCTATAAAAATTGACTTCAAATGATCTAAAAGCACAAACAAACAAAACAGGATTGACCTGGAGCAGGTAGGACCTGTTAACCATTGATAAATTCTAAGGACACTGACACTCTTGCATACTTTAGAGCTTGACTATAATAACCTTGAGTGTGCGTGTGTGTATATTTTTCCATTTGCTTGTGAATGTAAACAGTATATAAATAGAACATGTTCATTAAAAGCAATGGAAGAAAACAGAAGTATGTAAAGTCCAAAATAAGAGCTCCTCCAGTTCCCTTCTTTCTTCTCTTTTCTGAAAGGAACCTCTTTAACAATTGTTATTATTATTTTTTTCTGTACATTTTCTAAGCATTTGCAAATACACACATTTGCGTATATACACAGTCTGAGGGGCAGGAGGAAACGTCTTGGGTTAATGGAAATATTTTACATCTTGATTGTGGTGTAGTTACACAAATGAATATATTTGTCAAAACTCATTAAATTGGACACATAAAATAGTAAATTTTATTGCATGTAAATCATATCTTAATTAGCTGATAAAAAATAAAAAATATATACACAGTCTAGTTCTTGTAGTTGTCTGAAGGACTAGTAGAATCATAATTCTAACAATGCAATTCATTACTGAGAAATTGACTGGTCTCTTGTACTGTTTTGATGCCCAGAAACAACTAAATTGATTTATGTTTGCACTAATAAATAGCCTTAATTATGTTAGTCTGGTAAAACATTGAAAACATTTAATTTAATGTGCTTAGTTCATACCTAGAAGCCCAGAGCCTGGCTATGAGAACAAAAGGTGATGACAGGATTGATTAAAAGTAGAGTGGTACATGAATGTACAAATTTTGATGTGTAAAGTTATATGGAAATAGATGACTGAAGACCCAACTTTTCAATGTTGAATAATACCTTTTTAACTTTCATATGGAATCTTAATTTTATCTTTAAGTATCAAGAAGTGTGCATTCATTTACTGTGAAAAGATT